GCATTGAAGCAACTGCCATGTGATTGGTTGATTAGATAATTGCATTAATGAGAAATTGAACAGGTGTTCCTAATAATCCTTTAGGTGAGTGTATAGTTATTGAATCTACTGCAGAGATCAAATGTAGACAAAAGTTTAAATGTCTGTGCAGAATAACGGGAGGTCATAAAGTTCCCTAGTGTTAAATGGACCTTTGATTTCAAATAACGAAAATAACCAACTGCAGCTGCATTTCTGTAGTGAAATACAACATGTTTAATAAATGTCCGAAATGTTTGCATAATAGGGTAAACACCTAAAATCATAAAATGTGAATTAAGTGAATAAATGAGTAAAACATTGACGAAAATTGTACAACAAAAATATCCAGTGGTACCAATGATTAATCTCAGCCAGCTAAGGCAACTACATTTAAATCATGTTGTATGTACCTGTCAACTATTATTCAATCACCATTCAGCTAAAACAGCTAATAGTTTAAACTGAGTATATTTCAACCACAAAATGTAAAATGTTGAACATAGATTTCAATTCAAATTTATTAACATTGGACATGTTTACAGTATATGTAACAGAATTATGTTATAAAAGCAAATTTCTACTAATTTTGGCAGATAAGCTAATCTAAGATGTAGGTATAAGTATGATCACAATGTTATAATATTAGTTACAAACATTTGGATTTACAAACATTCAACTTTTTTCCCAGACAAAATTATATGCATGTTACAGACAGTTTCTTTAATTCCTGTCACTGCTTAACATGACAAAGCAGTTAAAGGTACCCTTGCTGCAGTACAATGACAACAGTAATTTAGGCCAGCTTCACCCAGCCTACATTTACTGTGGTGTGATGTTATATGTTACTTGGCATGTAGTGTATTACTCACAAAACATGTCTGATTATAAAGAGACATCCATTTGGCACAAACACCAACATGTACAATGTATGAATTATGTCATAATGATACACAGCCATTACATTACTGAGTTGTTTTTATACAAACTGAATTATACAGTTTAATTCTTTTTTTTTTTTTTTTTAGCAGAAAGTTTAATCCAAAATAACTTGCATAGCAGGATAGAAGTGACATTCCTGCTATCTCTGCGGTTTCAGTCATTTGCTCTGTACTGCACTAATTCAGAATTCTTTGTTAAAAACTTTCAGGTAAAATCATACAAATAGTAGACTCCACGGTTCTTAAAAATATACCTGCAGCTGAATTTACTGAATAAACTGTACACCTATGAAGTAACAAAAGATACCAATATACAAAAACAATTGCATACATCGGTAGTGATGGGGGAAACTACTGTAGCTGCATTAGCTTTTAAAGCTACCAGTGACTTCACATTGGAAGAAGTTAAGATACAGCAAAGCTACGCTAAGGGAGAAATCTAGTTAAGCTACTTAGAAAATGTAGTCCAAACTAGAAATGCAGTAGTGCATGTGATACAAAATTATAATAAAATACTATAATAAAAAAATCACATGCCAGCAAAAATACCACTCTAATTGATTTTATTGCAAAAAGTGCCTTAAATAAAACAGTCGTCAGTTTGCGCCTACACAAATAAACAGACACACTTCTTTCAGCATGTGTATTAAGCACACAATTTTAAACAGACGTAATGTAGGTGCATGTGAACCTGTTAGTGATCATTTTTCCTCATGCTCAGGCTGAGGTGGTGCATCCATGACGTCATGCTCTATTAGCAAAGTGTGATATTAGTGAGAAACACCAGCCCCTGTTGGCAGCCTGGCAAATGCGTTGCCTGGGCATGCCTTCACAGCGGTTAGGATGAAAGGGTAAGGGGCCCGAAGGGGGTTCAATTACTAACCATAGAGAAGCAATGGAAAAATAAAAATAAAAAACATCCCTTTACTTTTATGGCCCAGAATTGTTTGCAGTTTCATTAATTTGCTACACAAAAAATGGCAAAAATGTAATCTAACTACTTCAAACACTATGCAAATACACTTGTAGCTGAAGAACCACCATATGTAGTCCTCCTAGTTTAATTACATGTAATTCAGTACTCCCCAATACTGTAAATCAGCCTAATTATTTGAAAGTCTTGGTAAGCAAAAAGGGTCATTTGTGAGTCCCACAAAAACAATGTAATCCAACCCTTGAAGCCAAAGGAATGAATGGAAAATAAATAAGGAGATGTCTTGTAATTCTTACTTTTGCTGTGCTCTGGTTGCCTGAAAGAAACTGGGTGACAAAGGCTTTAGAGAAAAGGGATCTTTGTTCCTTTTTTATAGTTTCTGCAGGTCTTATTCATAGTGGCCAAAAACCCACTGAAGGCCTGAGAAGCCCCCTCTAACAGAAGCAGACAGGCCCAATGGTGAATCCATACTTCTGGGTAAAGTTACTGCCGCCAAACACAGCCAAGTCTCTGAGTGGTAGGAGATCCAGGTCTTCGCTCTCGAAGTGGAACACAGACTCCCGTAGCCCAGACTGCGTCGTATCAGAAGACTGGGGTAACAGACACAACAGTAGATCGCTGGTCAGTGCCCAGAGGTTACAACTACTTCATCATCACTAGAACTTACTTCATCACTCATTTCATAATGCCAAATACTTCCTTTGAAACTTTCATATAGCTATCAATGAATAAAAATAAGGAACAGAAACGCAGCTCTGCAACTACTGCAGCTCTAGAAAAAATGAAGAGACCACAGCCAAGTTTTCCCATTTCTAAATTTATGTTTATGCGCCTGTGTAAAATAGACTCCAGCCTGACGTTTCTCTGCTTCTCATTGATGAAGAGCTTCTTCAGTCCTGCTTCTAGGTGCCTGATACACACTGTCCCAGCAGCGCAGTCCACACCATGTGATGTTTCCCTTTCTTTTTGAAAGTCACTTGAGGCCATCCTCCAATTTATGAGGCACTGTCGGATAAGTTGACATTCATCTCTGGCATTAGACTGTTGCTCCTGCCCTCCACCTGGCTGGTTTTTGGTCATTGCCAGTATCTCCTGCTTCACCTTGTTCTCATGTACTGCTGTCTTAGAAACTCTGAGCCTGGAAGCAGCATGTTGCACAATGTAGCCTCTGCCAGCAGAACCATGATTAAAGTAGGATTTAAAAATGCAGACTTTTAAAAAATACAGAGTAGTTTCTTAATTTTTTCCAGAGCTGTATATTGTGACATGAAAAACTTAAAACTCAAATGCGGCCACCACAGCTAGTATTACAAATAGCAGACAGCATAAAAGCAGAAGCCAGAAGCTTACCTCACAGTCTTTTAACACTCTCAAATAACTATGCTTTCGTGTATCAGCCAGGAAGTTAGCCTCTCTTTCCTGGTGGCTGCCTGAAGTGCAGAAGTAGGTTACGCTCTGAGTGGCAGATCTGCTGTAGAGTCTTAAGAAGCGGAGCTGCACCACACTTGCTCCAGGGTACTCAAACTGACAGTGGGAGAACACATTAAGAGGACAGTTTAAAAGCAGGACTCATAGTGAAGAACCGGAAGAGAAGTGGCCAAATTAGCTGTTCACCTCAAAGCCATTCTCTAAAGTACTCAGCCAGTGGAAGGTCTCTTCCGGCCCAGTGTCCTTCAGCCAGGCCTTCTCAGGCACCTACACGTAGAGAAATTACAGAAAATCCAGTTGGTTAGCTGCTCAGTTCCCACACCGGGTTGTGAGAGTTAGTAACATTCAATTGAGCTATATATAACATATATACAAGTTATTTTTGTTCTTTTTCAATAGCAGAGACCATTTTTGGTGATTTATTTTGATGCATAACTTTTGTCATGGTAGATTTCTTTATTAGTTTATCAAAAGCAATTTTCATAGTATTTCTTAATTTTAACATCCATCCATCCATCCATCACAGGGCCTGTCTCCTGTCTTTTGCTTCCTGGGATGGTCTCCTGGCTCACCAAGATGCTATGCTGACTAAGTGATTATGGAAGATGGATGGATGGATTATTATTAAACTTTTCAGTAAGAAATCTGCTAAATGGCAGTAAAGCAGATCCCCTCTTGGAATGAGATGAGATCATTCAGTCACAGGTCCATCCTCCGTACCCACCTGCATCTCCTGTTCTTTCATCAGAAAAGTAGGACTATCATATGATTTAATGCCGAAACAAAAGCAAAATGCTAACTTCACGTATGACATGTGAGATCCTTAAAATTCTCATGACCCATTTTCCGCTTTCACCTTTGAACCGATGCTCTTCTGGCCGACATGTGCATTTATTTTTACAGAAAAAGAGGGGAATAAGGGGAATTATGCCATTAACCTGAGCACTGCGGGCAGAAATGCAGGTCTTCACTCCTGCAGTGAAGTTGCAGTAAACTGCAAAGGCATCAGCAGGACTGCCTTGGTTAGGATCAATGTAATAGAACCCTGAAAAATCAAAACAACAAGTCAATCACACGAAATTCCATAGTTTACTGTTACATCAACCCTTCAAAGAAGAACAATCAAACGTGCATTTCCCATTGTGCTGCCTCTCTGCCTTTGTGGAGGGCATTGCTAGGGTGAATAGCTACTGCAATCATTTGTAATGGACATGGAAGATAAGGCTGTAACCGTTGGTAAGGTAAGGATGACAGAGCCACAGTTCCAAGCAGGTGGTAGCTGGGTGCTCTTTTGTGCCATCTGGTGGCTCCAGAAGTAACTGCAGGTCCCGGTGCAGGGTGTTCAGGAACATTTGGATTGTTCGATAATTGGGGCTGTCTGATATATATGCAATTTCCTTGATGGAACAAAAATAAATGTTGACAAAAGAGCATAAGAAAGAGGAAGATCAAAAGTGTGTTTAGTTAGATAGTACACTGGTTCCAGATAGATACCATTATGCAATATAGTGCATTACTGAATCCTTTTATACAATCTAGGAATTATAATGGAAAATTATGCTGTGCATTTCATTACTAAAGTAAAATAACCAGCACAATCTGTTTTAAAGATCAAAGTCTTTATACAATAATAAATTTTATGAAATAATATCCTATCATCTGTATAAAATGCTGAAAACACACAAGAATGTATAACGTTGTAGTATGTGTCTTTGCCTTCAGTTGCATGAGCGTCAGACTCAGGGAGCTTCCCGGCGGCCCGCCAGCCCCAGGTGGGCCCTGAAAGACGTGAGAGTGACACAGAAGCTTTGTTTTGGTTTATCTGTAGGCAGCAAATGTATCATGCGGGTGATAGTGTTGGAGAATTACAGTGGGTTACAGCAGCCAAAAAACCTTTGGCTTAAGAACTTGACCAATGATGTTTGGATGATTTTATGCAAATCAGGAGAATTGCGTACAGGAGGTCCTCTCGCCCCGGCTGGTCCCCGGCGACCGCTAAGTCCCTTCAGCCCCTGAGGATAAATCATAGGAAAAACTGACTTCACACATTTCTAATCTTAGGCTTAAAATGTTTCACTATTCTGCTTCTATCCTAGGGGAGGGAGAGAGTGATTTTACGAGCCACCAGACATGATCTGCTTGAGATGCTTGGCACTGTGGCAACATTTTTTTCAGGGAATGTAAGAAAACAGCTATTTTCAGCAGAAATGAAAGCTTCCGATTCCGACACTATGGAAGGACAGCAAATATCCCCTAAGCCTTGTGACTGAAAACCTTTCTATCACTGCCTCACCCATTCCATCTCACAAGCATCTCCTCACTACATACAATCCCATCACGCTGAAGGTAGTCCTGCTCTGATAAATGGGGTCTCTATGGTAACCACCCCACAATCACCACTCTCCTGTGTTTGTTTTTTATAGCTGATATATCTGTGAAGTATTTGAGATGTTGTGCTGTATCCACACAGGGTCTGTCAAGTCTTAATGAAGTATAAAATGAATGCAATTCTAATAAATTTCCCATTTTACATACCTTTTGGCCAAATAATCCCTGTGGAAAGAAGTTGGTTTAAATACCATTTTAAACAAACGAACATTTTGTTAGTTTAATCCCAAATTCTACAATGACAAGCTGCTCTAAAATGTATTATTACCATTATTATCTATATTACTACATACACTTGAACGTTCTGCAATGATCTTTTAATACAACTGTAGAAAGACTATATAAATGTGATAGAGCTTTATTTTTTCCCTCGGGATAATATGAGCTTAGCATTAGCATGCATGCTAATGCTAGTGCGCAGTCTTGGAAAAGGGCAAAAATAACAGTGACTTACAGGAAGTCCAGGCAAGCCAAGTGCTCCCCTTGGGCCAGTGGGACCAATATCACCCTGAAGGGGACACACACAGGCATAAGCAGGCATAATGGGCAGGAAACATTTTACATGTGACCATGATAACATCTTCAGGGATAAAGATTAAGATCAGTGAAATAAAGAGGTTAACATATGATATAGATCCCATATGTATCAATACTGATTATGGCAGAAAGTGCACTAGTAAGTAACCTTAAGAATAAGACTTATATTGGTAATGCTGGCGAAGGAGTATACTACAGTGTATGACCTAATTAACTGTTAGTTTTTTTAAGTTGGAATTTACCTGTTCACCCTTTAATCCATCTTCACCTGCCTTCCCCAAATTACCTGGACTCCCCTGAAACACATGGTGTACCTTAATGCCGGAGCAATCTCAGTGCTGCATCATTTATGCACAACAGAAAAGACTGAAACGTTCTATCCGAGCACAAGGTATACTTTGCAGCCTGTCAGATCCCAGCTTTCTCTGGGAAGTGGCTATGCCGCACAACGCCTGAGGGAGGCGCTCATGAGAGCACCTTTAATCCTGCAGTCCCAGGCCGTCCGGGGGGTCCATTCGGCCCTTGGTGCCCCTGATGAATAAAGGGCCCCCAATTACTGAAAACACTGCAAAATGAAATGTGAGCGTCGGCATCATTAACTGCAAGCGCACGGCTTCTCACACAGACGGTCATCTTTTCATGGCGTACCTCTGGGCCTTTGTCACCTGTCTGTCCCTTTTGTCCTCGTGACCCTGGCATGCCCTGAGAAAGGGGAAGACGACAGCAGTGTAGCTATTAAACTCTTATTCCTCAAATTCATTTTTAACAAGAAACCTTAAAGATCATATTAGTCAGATAATTCTTATCCACATAAACAAAGCAGAAAACACTAAATGTAAGCATGTAAACAATAAAGTCATGTACTTCATTCTAAATTTGGCAATATCCACATATGCTAATAATATACACCAGTTTAATAATCACCAGTATTGGCAGTCTTTGAAGGTGGACATTTTCATTTTATATGATGGTTCTTTAACTTGGTTTTCTTATAAGAGAGGTATCTTTGAAAAAATAATTTACTATATTGCGGTTTATTACAAGTTCTTCTTTTTCCAGGTACTTGTCAGCATTTAGTCAACATACAAATAAAGTACATTGTCAAAAATGCTGATTTGACATTTCATTTCAGGGTGGCCTCAAAGAAATCAGAAGTCATCAGTCCAGCTTTGCACAAGAACGTCAAAAAGAGTTAGGAAAGATAAAGCCAGGGGTCACTGGCTGGTGCCTTCTGGTCTACATCTGGTCCGAAGTACAATCTAACAATTGAATCTTGACTGTGCGATTTTATTTGCCCGTGGTCTGCAAATTTTATTGTCAGGGGACCAGCCCCCCCCCCCCAAAGTGGACCCTGATTTGGCTGATGGAATTTGGCCCTTGGGGACAAACATCTGGGGACCTCTGCTTTAGGGACCACTCCACTTACAGGAGGACCTTGCCCCGCCGGAGGCCCCTGTGATCCTGGCTGTCCTCCTTCTCCCTGGAGAAATGATCGCAAAACAATGAACAACATTAAACCTTATAAAGCTTGACAACAAAGTAACTGAATGGCAGTTGTACTGTCTTTTTATTTGTTTATTTATTTATATATTTTTTTTTGCAGTAATTATCTCTTGTAGAAACAATACCTCAAAAGCTGAAAATTATATCCAGTGGTGGAATAAAAATTAAACCATTGTTTTTAGTTTTACTGCATGTGTGAGGATATTATGACTACTTGTGTTTGTGTATTGCAGTGTTTAATAAATGTAATGTAATATGATTTTACTGCTTCACCTAGGTAGCTAATAAATATGAACATGTACGCACCAAACCTAAAACCAGAGGTGGATCGTTCAGGTCCAGAAAGTAAAAATCCAGACCAAGATTTTGTTTCAACCAACCAGTTGAGTACTCTGTGACTGTGACTCTTCACGCTCAACCAGTTGGTTGAAACAAAATCTTGGTTTGGATTTTAACTTTCTGGACTTGAACTATCAAGTTCTGGTTTTAGTTTTGGTGCATACAAGTTGATATTATTTATATTATATCATTATATCATTTACTGCAGTAAATGCTCTGGTTGTTTGTGCATAAACTTATTCTTATCACTAAAGCATTATTTGACCCACCGTTCTGAATGAAAGCACTGGTTGTTACATGATGCCATCTAATAAAATCAGAACTACAACCATCCTCTAACCTTCTGTCCTGTAGATCCTCTTGATCCAGTCATTCCTGACCTTCCTTTTGCCCCCTGCAAGAGACACAAGCTGTCTAAATTCAGGTAATTGTTTTGGGGCATTCATGCAAATTCAATCCCTTAAGTGGCAAACATGTTAGGACAACACACTAGGGTCAGACTAGGAATCCTTACTGTCTTTCCGATATGCCCTGTCATTCCTGGGTGTCCATTAGGTCCACCTTCTCCCTGAAATACAAGAACAGTGCTTTTCCAGCAGCTGAGGTTGATCTAATTTTACCTGCTTTACTATTTTGCTCACAGGATCCAGAGAAAATGTCAGAAGCTGGATATAAGATAAAGACAAAAATGACGACACATTGACCTTTTCTCCATTTGGTCCTTGTTCCCCCTCTGCTCCGGGGCTCCCGTTGGGTCCCTGAAAACATGAATCAGGGCATTAAAATGTGATACGGCTCATGTATTGCAGAACGCCACATTGATAACAAGTTAATGAGGTTAACTTCAGAGGAAAATTCTCTGACACTTTTCTTTATCTCGTAATTAGATTTTTCAGCCTCAGTAAAATAGTCAGCATTAAACTGATGACCTGTGAAGCTAACTGGCATCATCTAGAGGTGCACACACAAAAATCCCATCTCCCAAATCCTTTTTTTTTTATTTTTCAAAGATTATTATAAGTATCGCTGCTATTTTTATGATAGTACTAGTATATTATGATGGAGTGAAGGAAATGACAAAAATGACAATGAACAGGAAGCAGAACATATTATCTGTGAATATAACTGCTACTGTATGTGCAAGAACTAATGACTATAATAAAAATAAGGCTTATATAATGGACCAAAAAAAAAAAACAGTCCTGAAATAGTATTACTATTAATGCTAGAACTTTTTCTTACTTAGATCCTCAAATTCTCATTGTAAAACCAGTTAAATATGTTCACTGTGCATTATATACGCAGGTGATATTGGAACAGTACAAATGTAATTTGTGTCATATTACGGGGACTGCATACTCCCAATCTCCATGGCAACTGTAATTTTCCCCCACCTCAGCATCCCTGAACACTAACCTGGGTCCCTGGTGGTCCTGCAAGGCCTCGATCCCCCTGCAGTCCTGGGGAACCCTTTGCATGGGAAAGATTAGATGTAATTTTTTAAGTTATTTTTTTCTTCGAACCGAGTCAAAAATACTTGCATGTTCTTCCACAATCTCTTAAAGCTTGAGCTCATAAATGTCTGTTGACCTTTAATCAACCTGAGATAATCTGCTCATCTATCAGTGACATAGTACAAATAATTGCAACTACTAGTTTTTCATTAAAAAGAAATTTTCCGTTAAGAGGAAATCATTTCACAGCTGCTCTTCTCGGTAAATTGTACATGCCTGGATGTACCTTTAATCCCGCGAGAGCTTTGGGGCCTCTAATCCCTGGCAGACCTTCTAATCCCTGTAAAGGACAAGTGTATTCAAGGGCACATCACTATGAAGATATTTCATCACATAAGTAAACAAAGGCTTAAGGTCACTTAGCCCCCCCCACCGGTTCTCCAGGCTGCCCTTCATCCCCCGGATCGCCATTAGGACCTTCTTGCCCCATGTAGCCCTTCAGACCCATAATTCCCTGGGGCCCCTTACTTCCCGTTGTTCCCTGGAGCGAAATAGAGGTACAACACGCTGTCTTAACAGGCCTCTTACCTTTTGGTGTAAGACTTCTGCTGTAAGACTCAATGGATGACATGTTTGGGAGTGTGACTCGGACTGCATTGAACTTAGTGCAGTTTTTTTATCCTTTGGAACTGAAAGATCATAGATCCTGGTGACATGCCAACCTGAGGTCCTGGTAATCCTGTGACACCTTTGATTCCAGGTTTTCCAGCCATTCCCTTCTGGTAAGACAAAAGGCAACTCAAAGGAAGTCATTATATTTACTGCACAAATAAACACCCACATTATACATATCTAATGCTATAATATTGTAAACACACACAGTGGCATGAAATACAAGTTAATTATTTCACTCTTTTTAAATTGAATATATTTTAAGGAGTAGAAATCTGGAAGGCAGTATGATGATGATAAACTTAATCTTATAAAAGACAGCACTTAATCTTAGCATAGTCACATTGATGTTATTTAAGAACTTTGGGTTTTTTTAGTTTTCCCTTCCCTTCTTAAAATGATTATGTGTCCTGTTGAACTGATTTCAACAAACTTGTATTAAACACAATACCTTAGCGCCAGGAAGCCCAGACTGGCCAGTCTCACCTCTGGGTCCCATCTCACCCTTAGGAACGGAGTAGTGGTAAAGGTGTTTCATTAGTCAAGCTACCGTGTTAGGAAAGTTTGGATTGAGATGATTTAACTACAGTACCTTTTGCCCCCGAGGTCCATCCCTACCCGGCGATCCCTGAGGACCTGCCCCGCCCTGAAGAGGGACACACTGAATTCACCACCTGATCTTGTTCAGTCTGAACTTGAAATGCGGATCATTAAGGCCTGGTGTTACTCTAATGGGCAAATTTTAATGGAATTACAGGGAGTCCAAATCCAGACATACAGATAGAAGCACCCACCTCCATTCCGGGTAAACCAAAGGCTCCAGCTTCACCCATCAGCCCAAGCTGACCCTTAAAAATAATATTATGAAATACTCAAACTACCTCACTATATACACGTTTATAAAAAAAGAATGCAAGAAAATGGTATTAGAAGTCCAGCTATATCTAACTGTTTTGATCTGTAAAGATCAGGTTTTATACAGTACAATCTACACTATTAATGCCCCCATTCTTTTGAAGCACAATTTACTCATTGGCCAATTAACAAAAAAAAAAACATCCAGTCAGTGGCAGTTCAGTGGCTGAAAACACCTTGATAATGAGAGGAAACCCACAATTGCAAGAATAACATCAGTGGCATGTAGAATGGCTTGTGTGAATGCATGACTTGCAAACCCGTGAAGTGGGTCTTACACCAGTACTACACCAGGGTACTTACTAAAGAGGCCAATGAGTGTAGGTCTTGTAAAGTTGCAATTGAGCGCCTACCTAATGAAGACCAAATAATAATTACTCACCGGCAGTCCTGTGTAGCCTTTCGGTCCCTTAATACCTCGTTCCCCTCTTCTACCAAGCGTTCCAGAGGGACCACCCTGCCCTGGTAATCCGTGGGGGCCCCTATCCCCCTGAAACACCACCATAAACAAGCCTGATGTACAATACCAGCTCCTTAAAATGAATAAGGACATGCCAACCCGTGTGGAGATCAGATAGCAATAAACCCAACACACTGAATTATAATCTGAAATTTACTTCATAAATCCATTTTGCTGTCCATGTCCAGCAACCAGAGAGCATGATCAAGAACACATTACAAAAATATGGAAAATGGCACAGGAATCAGAGAGGAGAACAAGCCTAGACCCAAAGCCACAAATCTTCAGCTTTTCCTGCAGTAACATTTTGTTTTCAGTAATATTCCTTATAGGCACAGAGCATATAAATGTACAATATTGTGAGTTATTTATTTTTACCTTTGGCCCTTTAAAGCCCCTGTCTCCAGTTTCGCCAGGAGTTCCAATATTACCCTAAAGCAAAAGACAATCCAACCATTTAAAACGATGCACTTACCGTATGACATGCCAGTTATAGTGTTTATTTAGAGGATGATGGGCTGGAATCGGGACTCTCACCTCTTTGCCTTTCAGTCCTGGGTCACCCTGAAACCCTCCAGCAGCTTGTGGTCCCGGATCTCCTAGGGCTCCTGGGGGGCCAGGCATCCCTGGGGGGCCTTGGGCTCCCTATCAGGCGCGAAAATGAGACACTAACACACGAGCCATAATGATTGGTTGGCAAACTATTCTCATTTATTCTGCAAAATCTAAAGGATTAGGCAAGGTAGAAAATTGCCCAACTTCATCCACTCTCATTTTAATTAGAATACTGCACTTATTTTAGCACCAGATGATAATCTTAAGAAAACCATTGATGTTGGGCTGAATGGTCAGCCCTGTCATAATGCACATGTTATAAGTACTCAGAACAAAGAGTGTGGTAACCTGTTATTAAGTAAGACAGACAATAAGCTTGGGTGTTCAAACAAAATTAACTTTGAGGTGTAACTTCTACTACTGCTCTTCTGCTCTTCACTGAGTACTAACCTGCTCCCCTTTGTCCCCAAGTGAGCCCCCAGCGCCCCCTGGGCCGGGAAGACCCTGCGGAAATTAACACGATAAACACACAGCCATGATGAGTAACAGCAAAAGGCCCAAGAAGGGCTCTGGTTTAATGTCTCTAAACAGGGTTCCAAAGGATCTTTGGGTCACATTCTTATATTGTTTAACATAATATTATTCTAGTAAAACAGATTTATGATATTTGATTCTGATTTAGCTTAGTGCTTTTGTAAAAAATTGAGCCAATCAGTTTCATTACAACTTCATTATCATCTTTGGAGTAACTTCTGAGTAAAAAAAATTATGAACCTGCTGTCCATCCAGACCATTGGGTCCACTGTCACCAGGAGCTCCCAGAATTCCCTACAGGACATCAATTGAACATGCACATTGTATAATGGTATTGATATATTGCAATATTATACACTATGTCAGTGAAATACATGAGAAGTTTACCGCTAAAATAAAGGCCTGGGTGTGGTGTTCATTTAAAAATTCTGCTCTACTTGTCAGCATAATGTTTCATATGTCATGATCTGTCCCTGTCAGCCCTGTTATGTTCCTGTTTGGCCAGCAGATGTCACTAGTCATCCTGTACCTCCCTAATGTGTTACTTACCCACACCTGTCTCTTGTTAAGTACTCATTTTTGGTGAATATAAAGCTCAGGAAAAATTTATGAGTCCACACCATATCTTTAAAAAAATTGCATGTTTAAATCCTGATTTAATCCTGGTTCTGCTGGTAGAACGCTACACTACAGGTTGCTTCCAGGTTCAAAATTTCTAAGACAGCAGTGCACAAGAACAAAGTGAAACAGAAGACACAGGAAATTACCAAAACCAGCCAGGAAAAGGGCAGAAACAATTTTCTAAAGGCAGAGATAACCGTCAATTTATCCGAACAGTTTCTCATGAATCGGGGGATGACATCAAGAGACCTTCAAAAGGAATTGGAAACATTAAGTGCCGGTGTGAAGTGCACTGCTAGGACAGTGTGTATCAGGTTCCTAGAAGGAGGACTGATGTCCGATACAGCAAGGAAGAAGGAAGAAGCCCTTCATCAATGAGAAACAGGGAAGAACTAGGCTGGAGTTTGCAAAAAAAAATAGATTATTCACAGACGCACAGCCATAAATTGAGAAATGTGTGGAACAAAAAAATTGTATTGTGGTCTCAATTTTTTCCAGAGCTCACCAGCTCAGTCATTAGTGTTGATGTGAGTCCTTGTAGTGGTTAGTATATATGATCCCCTTTCGCTGTTAGTCAGTGTGTCCTCTGCCCTATTAGCCTGAACCTCGCCTCCTTGTTAGATTAGCCATAGACTCTCCTTGTTGTTCCTCCCAGCCTTCAGTTTTAACCCCTTGCAGTCCATTTCTTTCTGTTTGGTTGTGTATTAGTGATCCAAATAAAAGCCCCTCGGTTCACCCCTACAGTAGGTAGCATCTGGGTTGTCCCTGCTTCCCATCATGATATTGTTTGTAAGCATCAGCATTAGTTCTCACCTTCGCTCCCTTTTCTCCCTCTGATCCTATTGGTCCGTCAGCCCCATGTTTACCCTATAATGCAAGAGCAATTTTAAAGACTCCAGCTCTTACAAGGCTTTAAATAGTGCAAAAAAAATTTCCACAAAAAATTTCAGTTGCACAATTTGTCAGAATGAGTGCACCAATGACCCATAGCACTTCCTGGTGAACCCATTTTGATCTTCACATTATCTCTGAGGATGAAAGCACGCTTCAAAGTTACTTTTGCTGACTCACGTGAATCTTTGTAGTCATTATATACCTTTACCAAAAACTAAGCAAAGAAATTCCACAATTTACAATTCAATGAACAAGTGACCGTGGTACGTGGGGTGAGTAGATCAATCACCCAATATAACGATGTGTCTATTTCATAAAATATATCAAGAGAATTAACCTGGCAAAGAATCGCAATTTCAGACTCAGAAGAAACATGGAAGGCCAGACAAAAGGCAGATGGGCTCAATAAAGCATGTAGTTCAGTGTCCTTGAGGTTTTTTTAATGCTAAAAATGTTCTTTCACTATTAAGTTTATGTTTTACACAGCCTTGAAAAACTGGTATCAATGACAATGATAATGTTTGCATTAATATTTTATGTTTTTGTTATTGCATTTTACCATGTCATTATGTCAAAAAATAATCTAATTTTTTTCTAATGGCTTTTTTCTGGAAAGTAAAAAAGTCTATGAAACTGTTTTTACTGAGCTTTTATTTGTTCTTCCTGCAACTAACCTTCAAACTTCATTAATCAAATGACTTTTACTACATTATAAATTTGATGTACTTCATAGTCTTAGTGTTGCGAAGCATCTTGTTCTCTTAAGTGCTCCCTGTCTTTGAGTTATTAAAAAACCGTTGCTGCATATCGCGCATGAATCAGAAAATCTTTTTTGATGCAACTTTAATGAAAAAAGAGCTTTGTTGTAAACTTGACAGAAACTGGAAGAGAACAGAGGGTGTGTCTACTCACTGGAGACCCAGCCGATCCAACCAAACCCTTAGATCCATGAAGGCCTTGGCTTCCCGAGTGACCTGGTTTACCTGGACCACCAGCAGGCCCAGGAGAGCCAGGTAAGCTCTGAAACATAGCAAAGATTGTTCAGGAAAACATCGCTCACAAACTGCTCTGTTAATCCTCCATTCTACTAGGGACAGAATGACTCAGTGGTTTATGAAGAACATGGGCTTGCTTGTGTCGCAGCAGGGAACCAGCCCTATGCACAATGCCCTCCGCAGGCTTAAGTGACCAGGGACAACGCAGTCAAGAAAACAATAGCATGGACGTGGAAGTCCAGATAACCGGCACAGCAGTACTTACAGGAAGCCCATGCATTCCTTTAGGTCCTGGATCTCCTAACCTACCCTGAAGAGAAATATCACGAGACACATTGCTCACAAACGAATCAACCAAAAGAGGGAAATATATGTAAAATAAATATAAGGAAATACATCATAATCAATCTGTTCTGCTAAATTTGAACTAACATATGACTTATGGGTACTGTAAGAAAATTATAGTATATGTTATTGCACTGCACCTCCAATGCACTGCAGCATGCGCACAAGGAACCAAAAGGGAATCTTCTCATTTTCAGAATAGGTGAAGCTTGAAAATACACCAGTGATGCAAACAGGTTCTGTGAAGCCTTGGGTCTGTTTTTTAAGAGTACAAGGCTGAAGACAACACTAAGGTTTCTCACCTGAGGTCCTGGGGGACCTGTTATCCCTGGCGGTCCTGGTGCACCCTGGAACACAATTCACAGTCAACAGGAAATTAACAAGTAAAGTAACCATAGCAACAACAAGTTACCAGGGTCCAATTACGATGCACATGACATGTCCTCATATAAGCAGACAATCAAACATGTGACTAAATGGAAAGATCAAAACCTTGGGAATGGAGACCTTTAAGTCTGTGCTCTTGGCATCATTTTATATCTGGCCATTGCCATGGGACCACCAACAATCCCTTTTCAGCTTTCTTTCTGTTTCTGCTGAAGCACAAAGGAAGGAACTGAGACGTTTCACTTACTGTAGGTCCGATCTTCCCAGTGGGACCAGGTAAGCCTCGGACTCCAGGTTCCCCCTTAGGTAAATACACGCATACACAAACGTGCTGGACACAGACCCAAATACAGACATAACCAAGCCAAGTCTTCTTGTCTTTTTTCCGGGGTAGAACGAGAGCCAGTTTTTTTGTATGAGAAAATCTTATATCATACAGTTATCCTTACAAAATACAACTAATAAAAAGCTGTAATTATTTTTGAGAAGACAATGACCATTAATGCACCTCACTACCTTACTCAGAAATGCTTGATATTTTAGTTCAACTATAAGAACTATAAGAAGCTCCTTTACTTATGGAATATGCAACAGGAGAATTGTAATAAGAAATCGTTTTTTACAGCCGGTACGTTCTAGCATAGCCAGGGCGAGTGATATGATGTAACTGTTTACCCTCTCTCCAATGGGGCCTGTTATTCCACGCAGGCCCAAGGCTCCTGGATAACCCTTTGGGGAGAAGAAACACCATGAAATACATCGACACAGACAGGAATGACACTAACGATGCATATATACACACAGTGTTACTCTCAGCAGACAAACAGCAAGCATACAGACTCAGAGGTCAATCTTTATAATCACATATTTAAGTGTCATTTGTTTTCTCTGTAAACTTTCAGCAAGGGAAATGCAGTTGTGTCTTTTTAATAACAAGTATACATAAGTCTCCGATAATTATGTACTTTGTTTAACTGGTAATGGATTATGTCAGACAGTAAGCATGCCTGAATGGTGAACCCACAGCCACATCTCGAGCTGGCAGAAAAACACTTACACACAGCCCTAAATGTCCCTGAGGACCTTCCAAGCCTGGCTGCCCAATGTACCCCTAGTTCAAAAATCACACAGAAATACAATATAGATTAAGCGACATTCTGTCCATGTTCAGCCATGTTCAGGCACACAGAGACAAATTATGGAGAATGTGAAAGATTAACAAGGAATGATTAACACTGTGAAAGATTAAAATTGAATGATTATCACTGTGAAAGATTAACATTGAATTATTAACACTGTGAAAGATTAACACTAGGTTCTTACAACACAATATCTTAATATAACGTTATAAGGAATCATTTCGTCTTACCTTTTGATTGAAAAATGTCTCGTTATTATTATTTTTTATTCTAGCTAACCAACCCCTAATGGCTCACCTGCTCTCCAGGTGGTCCAGGGTTGCCGTCTTGTCTTGGCCACCCTGGAGGACCCTGTTGGACACCACTGACACATCATCATAGATATCTCAATAGAACAATAGTCAAAGGTTTCAGCTGCAGGAAGGTGAGTCTTGAGAGTCATGATATTTATTAGGCATTATTCAGGCTTTCAAATAAACTCGGCTAAAGCAAGGATGTATTGATATTTTTACTGGATAGACAATGGACACAGACAGTAAGGTTGAACATACTGGAGTTCCTGGGAGTCCACCTGGTCCAGCTTCTCCAGCAAGTCCATGAAAACCCTAGAAATGCAAAAGTGTGAGATACACCTATAATATCATAATTCAATTGGTCAATTCATTAATTTATTACATTACTGTATCTATTACCACGTACAGACACTGGGCATCCCAGTGACCCGTTGCTAGGGGTTATTATTGTCCGTCCTCCTACTGAAAGCCTGCAATCCAGCTTTAAAAGCCCCTGGAACACTTACTAAGTCTTTGCCGATTTTCATGGTCCTGTCCTGGTCTCTTAATGGATGTGCAATGACACACAGGCTTTATTATTTAAACTCTCTTAACCTGATTTTGACCAGGAATCAGCTCTCATTTACAGTGACACACTAACACGTTCTCTTGCACAGTTAAATGCACACATGCACACACACTCAGTCGGAGCACTCTGTTGTGTTGTCAGAAAAAAAAACGTACAGTATGCTACACAAGACATAATCAGATTGAACTGGAACCAGATTGTTTTTTACTAGATGTTCGCTGATACTTTTGTATCCATTAAAACAATGTTCTGCATACTCTTAATCTAAGTTTTATTACCTATCTAGAAATGGATGTTTCCAAGTTGCTACAAGCTAAATAGTAATGGGGAAAATTAGTATAAGGGACACATACTCTGGGTCCCCAGCTTCCTTCATGTCCCATGGAGCCAGGAAGTCCCTGTTGGAGTAGAAGAGCTGTCATCACAAAACTGATCACCTGAACAGCACAAATTCAAATGTGTGTAAAGGTTCGAGTGTCACTGATCAGCAGATTATTCACTTGGGCACACATTTATGCCATGATGTCAGATTCCCATTTTCCAAACGTCTAGCAAAGTTTATTCTTCATGCTAGATGACTTGCATTCCCATAATGCATTGCTATTATTATCACTAGCTAAAGACAGGCCTTGTGACAATGTCAGGACTGACAGTCATTATAAACCTGAACATTAAAGCAGAGGACCATAGGATTTTCTCCACAACCCATCAGGTTATACATTTGCCACACAGTGCTGCATTGGCAATGACTGCCACACAGTGGACAGAGTAAGCAATGTGTTTATGTAGCATTTCCGCTATTCTGAGTATGTTTTTTTCAGTGACAGACAACTTAATTAATGAAGTACCACAAACAGGTCAGAGATCTCAGATTTACAGCATTTAATAGGCATGGATCATGTGATTGACAAGTTGATCATGTGATCCACCATGGGAAATGCCCCATGAACGCTAAACTGTAGTATGAGCTGCTGGGAGGCATTGGAGTAGCTAGATGCTGGCCTCACTCAGTCACATGTTACATGGTGATTGATTACCTGCTCTGAGCCAACATGCAGCTCAGGTAATGAAAGTCTGCTGACCTTGATCAGGCTGCCAACCCAGTCGTGATAAATAGGGTCAGCTGGGTGGCTTGAGAGAGCACTAGGACATGTGCAGTGCTGGCTGGGAAGTGTTGGGGGAAGATTAAAATACAAAGCCAGACCTCCACCTCACAACATCACACAGTGGTATTTATGGTATGAAAAGGTACAGAATGGGAACCTGTATACCAGACTTTCCTTCTGGTCCATCAGGTCCACGAAGGCCTCGCAGACCCTGAAAAGATGCAGTAAGGTGCAGACACGACCATATAAAAACCACGCAAAATGAGATCTTTTCAAGCTAAGAGGAAACTTAACCTGCAATGCTATGTATTTGATTTAGAATAACATTTATATCTGTTTGTGAAATTAAAATGAAATGTGATATTGTATACAGGTCTGACGTGGTTGTTCCCAGCCAGCCCAATCTTACAGGCATCCCAGGTTCACCAGCGTGACCTTGCTGTCCTGAGTCCCCCTGCAGACAATGGAAGAGACATTTTACAATGTCATTGTTTATATTCATATTCTTCATAGCAGATACTATATATATATATAAATCTATTCCCAAAAAAGTATCAGCACACCTGTAAAGCATTTCATCCTACGCAGACACATGCTACATATTTTATTAATATATTTCTCCTTCTTGGAGTTGATGATACTGTATCATATGGCATCACTCTGCAGGCCTGCTGTCAGAATAGCGGAGGAGCCTGCTGCCTGTGAATGTGCTGGAGGAGGCAGGCCACAGAGGCCTGCATGATCACTACCTTGGACCCCCTGAGACCTGCCTTCCCATCACGGCCTGGAGATCCTCTCTGCCCCTTAAACAGAACAGAGAACAACAAAAATCAAAAAGTGGCTGTTAAGAGGGATTATGTAATTTGTTACAAATGACTAACTGTGATCCTACCCTGAGCCCCCCCCCCCCCCCCATCTGGCACAAGTGGTTAGAATATGAAGGGATGGAAGGGATGGCTGGATTTTTGGTAGGTGCAGTGCTTGAGTTATGTTTTATAGTTTCTACATATTTGTTAGAAGAATTCATGTCAATGTTTCCAACCTATACTGAAAAAATGTGGCAGAATGTACTGGCTTAGTGAATCTGAAATAATACACTTCAAATGAAAAGATTTCTGCATATTCAGTTCCATTGTCTCAGTAGGGAAGGTCATTGTGCTACAGTAACCATGATTAGTTGTTGCACCTGTCCCTCATTCTCAGAGAGAGAACATCTGGATGGCTTTTGCACTTTGTCCCAATGAAGCCCGGGACAGATTCTGTTGCAGTTTGTGTCTTTTTTGAGGGAGTCTGTCCCTTTTATTACCTGCCAAAATGGTTACATCATTTTTTTGTGTTTATTTTCATGTTATGTTGATCCTGTCCCGGTCTCCAGGAGAATGCATCATTATGGCATCCACCATCCCCAACAAAGTGATTCTCACAACATCTAAGCCAGAGCTGTTTGTATTTTATTGCTAATGAAAATTCCCCAAACAATATCAGAACTTAAATTACGAGGTAACTTGGAGACTGTGCCAGATCTCCTGGAGATGTAGTGCTGTTTATCAACGAGGTTTGCAGATGCAGATGTTCCCATTAGTGATTGTTTTCGCCTTTCAATTGCACATAATTACTCAGTTTAGTCACTGTTTCTCAACTGTAGCTGTTGCCTCCTTGTTAAGAGTGTGGGAAAAAAATGTGTGAGTTCCTGGCAACATCCCCACTTGCATGACTCAACACTGAAGCAGCTTGCTTGCTCTGCGCACTGTCATACTAAATGACAAGCATACTGTATATAGCTTTAGTTTTGTATCTGTTTAGGATGCAAGCAGCAAAACACAGAACATCAGGTTTTCTGTTCAAAAGTCTGCTGCAGTTCTGACCTTTGGACCTTCTGTGCCGGCGTTTCCCTGGAGACCAGGTTCTCCGTTTTCACCCTGAGACAGACAGAATTCATCGGTGTCTAAGAGCACGGGTGAAACCCCTCATGCTTCCTGCACTTCATTTAAGATAAAACGTTCAGTTAGGTGTGCTCCTACGTGAGGAACATCAGATCAGATCAAGTTATGTTAACTAAATGCGTGTAAAGAAGTGGGTATGCCGTGATCTTCACCTGTAAGCCTTGCACACCTGCTTGACCTCTGACCCCAGGCACACCGGGTAATCCATACGGACCACTGTCCCCCTGGGGACCCCAGATTCCTGGAGCACCTCGCAAACCCTATGGGGAGGGTTGCAGCAAGACGGAGAGAATTTCCTGACATTGACACTGTGCTCTCTAATCATGTTTAATGAAAGGGAGTTTTTCTTGACTGCAGCGCCATGAAGATAAACACAGATACAAAGTTAAACAACAGAAGTTCTGACCGCATCTCCTTTTGGTCCATGATTTCCCTTATTTCCATCCAATCCTCTGTCTCCCTGTGGAAAAAACCATGACATCAAAGAAGATGTCAAATCAGCCTAATGGCCAGATCTCTGAGCATGTGTCAGTAGAAATGGACTGTAGATCTTACTCTGCTCCCTGGAAACCCAGGCAGACCCCAAAAGCCAAATGGACCCTGAAAGACAGCAGAAAAAAGCAAAGGTGTCAGCTCATTGAATCACTTTAACCAACCGCGAATGCTGCCTAAAATGAAACCATTCAACCTACAGTCAACCCGTTTGAGGACTGCTGGCTCCAAACAGCACAGTTACAATATCAAAACATGTTTCTGGGCGCAAACTCTGAAGTCAATGAATCACAGTTAATATATGCAGTTATTAATATTTACACAGGCTGTACAGAAGCACACGTGCAATCTAATACTAACCCTAAACAACCTTAACTGCCAAACAACGAAAACGGAAAATCGCAGAATCTTTTCAAAGAGATTTCTCCATTTGACCTTTGCTGCAGGGGGTGAAGCTGGTGAAGGACACAGATTCTTATTCAGTTATGTATCACTTATGAAAAATTCTAGTGTTTGTCAGATTATGAGTCAATGGGTCCCTGAAAGCGAGTGCAATAACAGGCAGGTAAGTGTTAAAGCTTGTTAAATGGTATATTTCTCTATGACAGACTGATGGTGCTCACACCTTATCTGGTTACCGGCTCCTGAACTGTAATTCTACTTTCAAAGATGCAGTAAGACTGTCAACCTACTTCACTGCAGTTCGTTATATTCTCTTTTATTCCAATGACCTTTCGGTCTTTCAAATAAAAAAAAATCTTTTCATGGAAACACATGCATTTCAAAACAGATGCCACTTAAACATACCCAGGGTTGATACATATTACTGTGACAGTAAACATATCAAACAGTACTGTATGTATATTTTACTGCTAAAAGTGTCTGCTAACACACATGATATATATGATTTCATAATAGTTTTACTGTTTAGGTTTTTTTTTTTCTTCTTTCAGATATTTTTGGCCAACTTGCATTAGTTAGTGCTGCAGCATTTAAAGTAATTTTTCAGTTTTTTACGGGTACATAGCAAATGATATGTATAATTCGAATTGCGATCTTTCCCCTTATACTCACCATGAGTCCCTCCACACCACACTCACCCTGTAGCCCCTCAGGGCCTGATTGGCCCTAAGAAACACAAGCAAGTGAAGGGAAAGGGACAAAGCGGACAGGGGTCAAAGGTCATGGTTACTTTATCAGTGTACTTTTTATGTTTAAAGTTACAGACCAGACAACAGCTATTCATGAAATACAGACAACTATATTTCTCAGATATAGATACTGTATTACTCAGATACAGATACTGCATTACTCAGATACAGATACTGCATTACTCAGGTACAGATACTGCATTACTCAGGTACAGATACTGCATTAGAGAGCACAGAATTGTTTTGGAAATAAAATGAAGCCTTTCAGTAGTGAAGACTTACAGTATCACCTTTAGGCCCAAGTAGTCCTTCGTTTCCTGGCTGTCCCTGATAAAATAATGTGAATGCACAGTTACTGTTATTAATATTTCAACAGTCATCTTTCAACTGAGAGCTTTTTACATCCATAAAAGAGCAAAACCACTGTGAAACTTCTGGGGTTTTTAAGAAACATTTTGTACAGCGGGTTAAGTCGCAGAGATCAGGAAGGACTTACCTGAGGACCTGGGGGGCCAGTTGAGCCCCTCCAACCTTCTAAGCCTTCAGGTCCCTGAAACAAACCAAGAGAAGCACAATAACCAGCCGCCTGTAAGAGAAGACGGAGAGAGAGCCAGACAAACACAACATACCTGAGGACCTCTCTGGCCAGCTGGACCTCACTGGCCTAGCTCCCCCTGTAGGAACCAGAATGTAATAACTGCTAATCACTCAGGTACTAACATTTAAGTAGTTTATGCGGAGGAGGCAGAATGCGTGGAGCGAACAAAACACTCTGATGGTGAACTCATGACTGCCTGTGTAGCAGGAACTTACCAGAGGACCTGATGCTCCCTGTACCCCAACCCGTCCAGTGAAACCTGGGGCTCCCTGCGCAAAGGTCACATTTCCAGTGAATTGGCATTAATTTCAAACGATATATATATTGTTCCTCATAAATTCTGATTGAATTAGACAGACATTGATTCAAATAAAGTTTTGTTTTCAAATGAAGGGTTGCGAATATGTGATGCCGCCGCTCTAGTACTCACTGGTAATCCTGGGGCTCCTGCAGCCCCATCTGACCCATAATACCCCTTGGAAACAGACCAGGACATGATTAGAAATGCAGGGTGGAGCATGCATGAGATTCACCTTCACAGGAAATATGCAGAGCGGCGGCGCGTCATGACCCACCGACGGCCCAGCTGCCCCCCGCAGCCCAGTCATCCCTCGGACACCCCTCGCTCCCTACAATGTCAGCACATGGACCATATTACCTGACACAAAATGCACATTTCACTCATAGTACAAAATACATCAACTGCTCCCAAAATTGATTGTTGACTTCGGATGTGGGCCCAATGTGATATGCTTTCATGGGGCCCAAAATCTCTAGCGGCACACTGTCAGTAATGAAATCACAGGAACACTATGCTGGTAACCCACACTTCCTGAGACTGGCATCCCATCAGCGTGTCCCCAGCCTCGTGCCCTGTGAGTAACTGGCATTATACAGACTCTCGCTGTGTCTTGCTCTGTAACTGTGCATCTTATTCACAGGTAGGATTATACTCACAGGGGGTCCAACAGCACCCATAAGCCCTGGTTCACCTTTGGACCCCTGAAGAAGATAAAATGGCACATTCAAAATTAATCAAATTTCGCTAAAGGCAACTTCATTTGCATCTCATTTGAAACTTATACCCATAACATGTACAACTTAATGCATCCAGCATGACAGAATTCAGACTAGACAAGAACCATTCAGATAAAACTATAATACTGTATGATGGCAAAAGAGTGCATGCAATTATCGACAAGTGCATTTACTGTAATACCCAATGACACGATGTTCTGTAACCTAATCTGCTCAGTGCTCTCATAGACTGAAGGACATCGACGTCATTTTCATGAGAAATTTGAATTCATACATTTTGATGTAGGTGGCACCTTGGCACCTTGGCACAGTGGGTAGCACTGTTACCTCACACCTTCAGAGCTGGAGGGGGCTTTGAAACAGTCTGCATGTTCTCACCATGTTATGTGAGATTCCTCCCACAGTCCTGTTGTACCAGGTGAAGTGGTATTTCTAAATCAACTGCTTTACCCCATGTGACCTGGGATAGGCTCCATACGTCCATCACCCTGCACTGGATGGTACTTAGGTGATGGATGGATGGACATTTTTAAGTATTATGTTTTACAACAGCTAGAGGGCAGTGAGATACAATTATACAGACATTTAAATAACAAAATAAGCTTTTAATAGAAAACTGATTTAACACTGTAAGCAAGACTCTTACTCTACCTTCCAGCCAGGTTCCCCTCGATTTCCACATAGCCCTGCTTCTCCATTGAAGCCCTGTAGATCAATGGGAATAAGAGGCTGTCTCAAGTATATTTGTCTTTGTACTTATTTCCGCACTTGAATTGTGTAAGCAGGAAAAGGCAGCCCTAAGCTGTCCATAGTGCATATTCCACAGACTTTTCCATGCTCAAATCACAACCCAAAATGCTCACATGCTACTTCACCAGGGTCCACGGCTGTTTAGATAGATATCTTTATCCAAATCAAACATCCTTGCAGCATAAACTAAATAAATGAATCACATTGACCCACATACTGTACAAGGGCGACCGTTTCTATGATGCTTTGACCTTTGACCTCTGCTTCAAGAGCATTTACCATAAATTTACCTTATCCCCTTTCTCTCCTGGTGGGGGCGTTTCTCCTGGGTAGCCCTCAGGGCCCTGAAATGAAGGATGGGGAAAGAAGGTCTTATCATTACACACTAGCAAACGGCACGATGGCAGCCATGGATTCTGAGACAAGATTTCATCGATGGACCTGTAGCCCAGGGAGCCCAGGTGGTCCTGGTTGACCATTCAGCCCCTGTCTGCCGTCCGTCCCTCTGGTCCCTGTCCTTCCAGGCTCCCCCCTTGGCCCTGGGTAACCCTGCCGGGTAAAAGTCGTAAGCAGGGAGAGTGGCGGGTCCATGAAATGCGGAACAAACTTTGGCTCTGCAAAATCTGGCATGACTGCTGAACCAGATATGGATGGCAGAACATAAGACAGGCTGCCAAGCCTTATGGTCTGCAGGGATCATTTATTAGGATACTCAGATTTTAATGAAACAGCTTTAAATACATTAAAAGTTAACAGAAACCTTCAATATTTAATACAAGAAAATGCTCGGTAATTTTGGGTAGATCTTACATGAAATCAGAAAACTGTTTTAAGACTCTATATAAACATGACATCAAGTAACTATATGTCCTATATGGGTCATTGGCACTTAAAAGATCCATATAAGAATCCATGCATAAATGAGAAGCTGTACCCGGTCTCCTCTGCTCCCCGGGACTCCTGGGTGTCCGGGACCCCCCTGTCTACCCTGCAGGAAGGACAGCCAGTGGTCAAGGGGGGAGGACACCTCCCTAAACTAAACGCACAGATGGGCAGTTGAGACTTTCTATTACACAACTTCTAAGAAAATGGGCAAGCATTGTGTACTTCTTTAGAGGGAAATGTGCAAGTGAAGTGTCACATTTCTCTCCCTGGAACGACTCCATAGTTATATTGAAAATATATGTATTTTGGCTTTGAAGAACTCAATGTGATCAACTGCAGTTCTAAGAATAAGCAGCCGATCCATGAGAAGCCAGCTGGAGAATAATGTACTAGGTATGTGTGATCACAGCCCAGCACAGGGTTACAACCCACACCTGTACCCCGGGCTGTCCTGTCTCCCCCCTCAGTCCAGTTGGGCCCCGTTGTGCCTGTGAGATGGAACAGGAATTAAAAAGACAAACCAGCCCCATTCACCTCCTGTCAAGCTTGGATACATTCAGTTTTGCGCTGTACTTACAGGGCAGCCATACTGAAGGAAATGGAAGAGAACAGAATGCTGGAAATGAGAAGGCAGGACAAAACCAGATCAGTGACCCTTCAGAGAAGAACAACATATACTTAATAAAAATTTAAGGAAAAAAAAAGTTTATTAAATCTTACACTAGAAAACATAAACCAATAACATTCACAATCCCGCAGACTCACTGGTACATTAGACCAGCACTGGAGTAACTCAGAAATGATTAAGGCTGTAACTTCTATTGTTCTGGCTCACAAACACTGTCACTGTGTCACTGCTCCTTTTTCCGATGGTGTACTGGTCTGGTGCCTGATAAATACAGCTGCAGAAAAAAATTAAGAGACCACTTTATATTTTTAAACAAATCTGCACTTTTACATCCTGGTTTAACCGCGGTTCTGGCAGAAGGCTACACTGAGCAGCTGTTTCCTGCTTCCAGGTCTAGGACACAAGAAGGTGAAGCAGGAGACACTGGGAACGACCAGAAACCAGGCAGTAAAGGGCGGAAGCGACTTTCTAATGCCAGAAATTACCGTTAACTTATCCGACAGTTTCTCATGAATCGTAGGATGACATCAATTGACCTTCAAAAGGAACGGGGAACATTAAGTGCAGGTGTGAAGTGCACTGCTAGGATAGTTTGTATCAGGCTCCTAGAAGCAGGAAGAAGCTCTTCATTAATGTGACACTGAGAAGAACCAGGCTGCAGTTTTCAAAAAAATACATATTATCACAGACACACACCCATAATTTGAGAAAGGAGTGAACCAAGAAATTGTGCTGTGGTTATTTTTTGATAAAATAAGGCGGCGCCAAAAAGAAGAGGCAAAGTGAAGGGTTGGGGTTCCATGCCTGGGGTTCCATGCTGGGGTTCCATGCTGGGGTTCCAGATGCTAAATAAGATACCTAGAGTAAGAAGTGCTGTCACTCTGGTTTCTGGGAAAGTGCAGAGTGAGTCACATGGACCAACAGACTGTGGCTAGTTTACTGAAGTTACCAAAGCCTCCATTCACTGTGCGACTTCTGACAAAGGTGAACAGATGCCCAGTGTGGGTGACTTTCAGATGAATTTCCCCTAATAATACCGATCTGTGGGGCCGAGGAACATGAAGGTCGAGGAACACGGGGGCCGAGGAACACGGGGGCCGACAGCGTGTTTGTGTGGATAACACTCAGAAGTTGTGAAAAGCACAGAAACTGCACCAAAGCCTGAAACACACCAGGCCAGTTATTGGCCATCTGAAGCTGCTGCTTTGCCAATGAGAGTCGATGACTGGCTGTCACACCCGTGTATGCGGATCAGACACGGCCGGCGCCCCCTGGCACTGTTTTGGTCAAATGAACATGTTGAATTGCCGTCAAAGTTAGTTGATGAAAGCAAACTCTCTGACTGGGCCTCTCACCTCTAGCTATGCAGGCGTGTCCCAGCTCAAAATTTTATAATTGACAGGAACCAATGGGCTCGGATCCTTGGAGGGTGTTGATCCGTCAGGTTTGGTTGGCACTATTTTTTGCTGACGGCTTGGTGGGTACCCAGCTTACGACTGCATGCTGTAGCAAACTCATACTGGCAGAGAACACCAGCTCAACTGCAGCACCACTTTCTAGGTGATATTTCAGACCTCAAAGAGCACATGCTTGGACCAAATTACAAGGTCCATCAGAGAAAGAACATTTTTCAGCAGGGAACAGTTTCTGGTTAGACTGTACGAGAAAAAAACCTGCCAAATATATATCAAAAAAGAGAATCTTAAAAAAAATAACCAAATACATAGGGCTTTAAATGACATACCTTATTCAATGACTTTATTAATGTTCTATAAATGTCAAAATCAAATCGATGTCAATGTTTTATGTATGAACAACTAGGTATAGCTTATTAATGCCAGATCCTGTCAGTAAGTACAGTATATGTATATATGTTACCAAACATAAAAGTACTGAAAGGTCTTGAAAGCTCAAGACCAGAGCTTAGTTTAATACACCACAGAAGCGTAACAATATAGAGTATCAAATATATACTGTAAGTGTGTCCCAATTTACCCTTTGTTCCACTTAGCCAAGATTCATGCCTGTAACTTTTTGATCATTTGAATTGAAGTACATTGCAAATGAAGTCTCCACAATGTGATATAAGACAACATAAGGTGAGTCAAACAGGATACAGGAGAGAAAATGAATACATAAATGTCAGTAGCATACTTAAGAATTCACAGCAGCATTAGCTGCTCAGCTTAGAAGCCGTGGACGTGGAGCTTGTACAGTATGCCACCAGATCAGACTACCATGGTGTTTGGAAGTTCAGGTTTGTGCCATATGGACTGAAACTGGTTGTGTGTGTGTGTGTGTGTGTGTGTGTGAATGGGTTTGCATAGATCACATTTAAGGACCAAATTGTCCCCAAAGTGTAGTAAAACCTGAAATTTCCCTACTTTTGGGGACATCTTTTGAGGTCCCCATTTGGATAACCTCAGTTTTATAAAACACTGTGAATGCAATCAAAAAATAAAAAATGCCAAAAGTCTTGTATTTGGGTTGGTTACTTATGGTTAAGGTTAGGGATGGGTAGAGGTTAATGGTGTCGTGATTGGGATTAGGGTTTTTCCCATAGAAATGAATGGATGGTCCCCATTTAGATAGGTACACTGACACCTGTCTCCCAAATGGAAACAAAGATTGCTTGCAATGCCAGGAGGACAGCCTCACCACCAGCCTGGAGAAGTTCACCCCGGACACCACAGATCTCTGTGACCTTCCCTACCCCCAGCTGGTTCACCACCCACACAATGTTAGCGAGACCGGGCAGTTCACAGTTAATCGGAGGATCAGCTCCAAGAACTGTGGACCCAGAGATGTCCAACCTCCTAGCTGGAGGATCATCTTTAAACAACTGCTCAGAGTAGCCGTCCTAGTGGGTCACAACTGCAGTGCCATCCGTAAGGACCAGTGGTTATATGTTCAATTATAAATTCTCTGAATACAACATGTGTATTGACCTGATTACATCATGTGGCTTCCGCCACAGTAGATAATCTGCCCAGTGGCAAAAGGATGAAAGTCATCACAGAACGATTATTACTACATCTTGCTACAAAAAGTCCATTAGTCATATTTTTATTGTTTTTCTTATTTTAAAGGGTAGGAAAAAGACATTCAAAAATATGTTCAAAATAATTTTTTGTTTTGGACTCCTGGACTATTTAGCTAATCCTTTCATAGAATGTAGTCTCCAGTAAGTTCCTTAGACTGTAGCATTTTACAAATACAATCAAGGCCAGTTATAAACCCCAATTCTTCTTACCCTTTGATCTGGGATTCAAGCACCTCTAGAGGTGGGGGTTACAAAGGCAAGGGGAAAATGGTTAGAGCCCATTGAAAAGAAAAGAAAAGAAAAGGCTTAGATCTAAGAGAACCACATATGATTGCTTCAAGTTACAGGAAAGACTGCAGTCTGCAGGAACCTTACAATGACAATCAGAAACAAAGAGGTGGGGATGGTGAGGCAGCACTTTCCACAAGAGCGTGACACATGGTAATGAAGGCGAGAACTAGTATGAGAGATATAATTGGATACGTTTTCTAGTAATCAGGGATACACTTGTTCATTCTTTTTCAGTAACTTTCATTCAGTGGCTGGAATATTTTTTTGTGGTAAAATATTATAAATTATTATAGCATGGAACTGCTTTTAGGTGCTGCCTCAAAGCTAAGGCTAAGACTGGCAGAAGCACACAGGTTAATTCAGATCTGCATTATGTTTCCACTTTAACTGTAGCCTTCAGTGCACATAGACAAGCTGTAATTCCAGCCCCCTAACTGCAGATGGCGTGCAGTTCTCATGCAGTTACAGCGTGAGACTCACCCGGAAGGCAGCCCATTCATCCATTGTATTTCTCCAAAGGTAGAGAGTAGGCATCCCTGCCGGACCAGGAGGGCCTGGATCACCATTCCTGCCCTCATCACCTTCTGGCCCTTTGTCACCCTGAAAACAACAAATTGTATTGAGTACTGAAGTCAGTTACTGTGTCTCACATTTGCACATACAAACCATCCCTACTGTAGCACATGTTCACTAGGGTTCTAAAATAATTTAATCTACTTACTGCTTTTTTTTTTTTAATTGAACTTTTGGATATTTGAGGATGCAGATGTTTATACCTCAGTTATTAACAAAGTGGATGGCACAGTGGCTCAGTGGGTTTGAGTCACTGGAGGTTGTCATGGAGAGGAAAGTGAGGGAGAAATTGCTGTCTATTGTGGAAAATGAGAAGAAGTTACCACAGTCAGAGACTCATTTTCCCAGAATACACGACGGAGCACTTCAGGAGATCCTTAATAGCAACAGCAATTTGCCAGTTTAACATCTTGAACTCTAGGCCTAACAACTGTCATGAATCTCTAACATTATTGTATCCTTTCAAAACCCTATCTGCATTTTATGCTGTTTGTACAGATTCTGTTACACTCCGGTTATATGTATAAATAAATACGCCCATTGTACTTCATCCACATAATATTCATAATAGCCATTGTCTACTATGAACAATATAATGTCTACCTTGTATCATATGGCACTGCCCTTTTCTATTACGTAACATTGCATAATATTGCAGAGATGGGAACAAGTCACTCCTTGGAGAGTCTGAGTCAAGCCTCAAGTCAAAACATTGCAAGTCCGAGTCAAATCTCAAGTCATGTGCCCTCAAGTCCAAGTCAAGTCAAAGTCTTTCCATCACTTTTGCTGTCGAGTCACAAGTCATCAAATTTGTGACTCAAGTCCGAGTCGTGAGTCATGTAACTCGAATCCCTACCTATGTCATTTTTTTTTTTTTACCTTTAGTGATTAAAACTTGCTGCAGCAAAAACCCATCACAGTACATTGTAAGTTCATGTAAAATCTGTAAATTATCATGAGTAACTAGGTCATGATTTCTGCTAAGAGATGTTACTGTTGAATTTTCCTAGTGTTTCTGTGGCGCTTCACCACATAAAGAATGCCATCCATCATTATTCAATATTCAAGTGAAGCCCAACATTTCTAGGGCCTGTATCTCCAAAACTAGGCAACTCCCAGCAGAACAACATAGATTGATAGACAGCATTAGCCCCCCTCTAAAACATATATTTTTCAGTTTTGGGGTGAACTGCCCCTTTAAGTTGTAAATCTATTTCACTTGGCATCAGGGTAACATATAGAACAATCTACAGCAAATTATTATATGAGACCCACATCTAATACCAGTAACAATGTCCCTCACCTTGTCACCCTTAATTCCAGGGTAGCCTCTTCTTCCCCAGCAACCCTAAACATTTATTTAAAGAAAAAAATAATAAAATCATTCAATATAAAATAATGATCACAAGCTAATATAATGTACCCCCTCTGTCAACATTGGCTGCAAGTAGAAAAATCATGAAAGAGTAACTTACTCTTCTTCCTGCTGGCCCATCAGGTCCTGGTGGTCCACTTTGGACCCTATACATTCTGCCATTTGGCCCAGGTATCTGACTAGCTTCTCTGGCTACAATCACTACCATGCCAGCTGCTGTCAGGAGTGGTTGCCCTCTTCGAGCAGTTTGTGGGGGCACATAACTGGTGGGCACACCTTGGTCACCTGAACTCTCCATAGCTGACTTGGATGTTGGTGCAGGTGGAGGTGTTCCTGCAGAGAGAAGATTGTCTTCTACCAGAAGGCTGGAATCAGTGCCCTTGGAGTGGAGTGAAGTCTCAGCCATGTTCTTGTTTCCCTTGATATTAATTAAATATTTTCTCAGAGGAGTAGAGGATGAGGAGTCTAGGTCAATGATATCATCCAAGGGCTTCCAAGAAAATGCTGGGTAGGTTTTTCTTCTGGGGTTACTTTGCCGTTTGTCAGTAGTGAAGTTCTCAAGTGAGGCTTCTGTAGCAGGATTAAGTTTCTTGCCATGGCTCCACCCGACCTGGGTGCGAATGGAGAGAAGAGAGGCACGGTGGCTGAGATGGAAGGAGGGGTTAGTGAAGCTTGTGTTTTCCTCCTGGAATGAATCTCCTCTCCTGGGAAGTCCAGGCTGCCAGGGAGCAGGAGGAAAGATCGGCGTCCCATGAAGAATCTTTTTCTGGAATAAAATAATAACAGAACCCTTCAGATAAAGGGAAAGATGACAAGATGCAGGAAATGGAAGATATCAAAGGAGAGGATTTTCTTTAAAGATCACTTCTATCTCACAGCATAGACTTTATAAATAAAAAAGATTAATAATTGATTTATATTTTTTTAAATAATGATTATTAAGTACATTATTTTGGAAACAGGAAATGTGATAAAAATGCCAGTTATACATTAGATTAAGTAGCGCATACAGTACATGGATTCTTTCCTTCATTACATATTTGTCCTAAAGCTGAGGGTAAAACAGTCAGATTTATATAAAATGATGAGAGTGAGAGTGAATGACAGAAAAACCAGGGTCTGCTGAGCACCAAATACTCTGGGACTGATAAGATTAAAGCAAACAGTCAGTTTCTGAATATCTTGGAATTTATGACTGATAGTGAATTACTACAACACCTGAATATTGTGAACACAAAAATCCCCCAAAAAATGACATGATATTAAAATTATTCATGAAAGAGAATTGCAAGTAGTCGAAAGCTCTTGCATTGGTTCACAGTTGCTCACCTTAAATGGCTTCTTGGAACTGAGGAACCATTCTGGAGTCATCAGCAGGTGGCTTTAAAGACACCCTCAAAGTTCATTTCTGTGCTTCACAAAGGCCTTGCTTACAAACCACAATGAAATTTAAGCAGCAGGAGCAGATCAGGCTACCTTCTTTGTCAAAGTGAAGTTTCAGCACGGCAAAGTGAAGTTTCAGCACGGCAAAGTGAAGTTTCAGCACGGCAAAGTGAAGTTTCAGCACGGCGCTTGGCTCTAACGGATAGCCGTGAGGTTGAGTATGAGGGCAGGTCTGTGTGCCGGAGAACAGGCTCATGCAAACGGCTCACTGACAGCCCCGTAGCTGCATGTACACGTAGGCTGATCGAGGTGTGGAGTTTGGGGCTGTACTGTGGCTTAATGGGCTGAGCAGCCACCCATCATCAAGACTCCTTTTCATTTGAGCAGTGTGTGGCTCGGGGGGCTAAGCCTCTGTGCCTGGGATTTGACGGTCACATGTTCGAACCCGGCCCTTAAAAGTCCCGTCTGTGGGCCCTCGAGGAAGGCCCTTCACCCCCCAGCTCCAGGGGCACTGCAGCATGTGGATGCTCTTCACTGCCAAGCTTACTCTCACTTACA